TCATTTGACAAATAATAAAACCGATTCGGTGAATCCCAGATTGATTTCCTTTTTAACGCTTCAAGCAATACTTTGCTACCAACTTCCACGAAGGCAATTTTGATACATAAGGAAAAATTGCAGCAGTCGTCCACAACATTTTCAATTTTTGCAAACTTTATTATAACCTGCAAAATTAAGGATGTCCTTGTTCTTGATTTCACGGTAAATTAAACCTCCCCAATCATCGTAATAGCTTGAAAATCAATAAATACATGTGCACGATGATAATATTTAGAATATGAAGCTAATCAAAAGCAGTTGCTTACAAATTGAAGCTCTCAATCTGGAATGACTTGCTGTGTACCTAGTAATTTGGTATGTGCTCAGCTTCAAACCAATGGAAATAGCCACTTTTAAGCTGTTATAAACATCGCCAGTTTAACCCCCAAAACAAAAAAGGACGAGCACCTGATACTAAACATACTTGCAATATCAATTTGTGTCAACGAACGTTCCTAACCTTTCAGAAATATGTAGTTGGGGTCCAAACGGATGGAAACCATCCCTTTGATCGTTAGTTGACCAAAAACATTGATTTTGACTAAATTTGGTAAGGGCAAAATGATAACTTCACGAATTTAACATAAAATAATTAAAAAAGAAAACAAAAATCTTCCCACTTGCTTTACCCCACCCTCACTCTCATGAAAAACCCTGAAGTCGGTGGATCTACCTTCCCCTCATTTCTCACTCCCACCCACACCGGTTGTCGAAACCGTCATTCCAAGGTCGGCCGCCACAACCGCATCACAATGTCAGCATCGTCACACAAAGGCCGGTGCCACAACCCAAATTAGATTTTTCTTTCATAAATCTATTGAAACTTTGTAACAGTTTTGATTTTCATTTTTTGATTTTATGAGATTGGATTGTGGTTGTGGAGATTTGATAATCACTAGTGATGGTGGCGATTGTAGAGATCCGATTCTTAGATCTTTGGTGTCGATTTTGGGGTTTCGAAATTGCAGAGGATTTGACAATCATTTCACTCTTGGCTATAGGTTTTCGTTACAAAGGTTTTTGCAGTTTGAGATAGTGGTGGTGCTATCGATTTAGGTGTGGCATCGTGTGGGTGGCGACAATGGTTGTCGTTCGATGATGGGTGAGTTTTCTTGGTTTGATTTTCGAGTATTGGTTGAGTTTTCTTAGTTTATTTTTAAATTACAGTGGCAAATGTTGAGTGAGCTGGAAGGTGGCGGTGGAGTGTTTTGGAACTAGTAATGGGTAGTGGTGATGGGAGTCATGGTGGCAGCGGTGGCTATTTCTAGAAAGAGTTGATTTTGATTGGGAGGGTGGAGTGAGGTGGAAGATCAAGTGTTTTTGGTTTTTTATTTTTTATTTTTTATTTTGTTTGGTTTTTTATAATATGGAATTAATTAAATTACCCTTAGGCCCTTATCAAATTTGGTCAAAATCAATTTTTTTGATCAATTAATGGCCAAATGGAAGGTTTCCATCTATTTAGACCCCAACTGCATATTTCTGAAAAGTTAGGGACATTCATTGGCACGAATTGAAAGTTATGATAAAGATTGAAAAAATTGAAAAGGTTAGGGACCATTGCTGCAATTTTTCCTATATATAATGCAATCCACTTCAAAGTAGGCTTACCTGGATTGATATCCCCAAAGAAAATTCAACTACTAAAAGTGTAGTGGACTGCTTTAAGAAAGATCTCTCCCAGATATCACAACTTATTGGCTATAATCCGGTTGGCCATCTACAAAGTAAAAGAAATCCTAGAATTTTAATATATATCATGAAGCAAAGACTTTGAGATAGCATTATGTTATCATAGTAAATCGAATCACACAATACATTAAGCAGCATCAAAACTGCTGCTGTGATTCTCTTGCATCCAGGACCGCAGGTCACACAGGTTGGGCCATTGCTGGCCATTATTCTAAAAGAGAGCATTTTATGGGAACAATTCAAGAAACCAGAAAAAAACACCTATGTTGGATCGGTGACCAATCCGGGGAGTACTAGTCATGCCTGTAGACCATACAAGGCCACACTTTTCTATGAACAGGCCAGCCTAGCACGACCTGCCAGAAGACAGGTCAGGCCTCTAAACGGAGGAGGGGGCACATTTTACACCACTACCAACAAGTTAAAAGTTTCTCCCTCTTATAATAATGAAAATTTAAGTACTTTCTTACTGCTACATTATATTTTCTCCACTCTCATCTGCACAGGCATAAAAGGTCGCTTCTTGCATGCTAGTGCACAAATGCACAAGTAAAATAGTAGCAAGTAGTGTTGACCCTAGAAAATGAGCTAACAGATGTCGGGCCCACTCACGTCAAGTTAAGTACGCGCGTTCCTATCGGAATAACGACGGTAGCAAGGAGGAAATGGACGCTGGAGGTAATTTGCGGCGAGAGACAAAACTATTCAAATTCCGACGGGTGAAACAAAAGCAATCGCGCTAACAACAATCACCGGACGGAAACTAAACTAATCTATATAGTAACAAATAGGAATAAGTGGAATGATAGATAAAATATGTATAAAAGTTGTTACATTGTATGTCGAAATTTACGTCCGATAAACATGTAAAGAAGACGAGAAATATTCAACCAAACGTTTAGATGAAATTCTTGAGAGTTCAAGTGTATATTTCGAATATATGATTGTCCAAATTCCAATCAATAATCCCACACCTTTTTAGTTATAAAGAGAACCTATTTATACTGTATTAACCGATGTGGTGACCATTGGATCAGAATAATGTGACCTCATCTCCTTAATTGAGGCTTCACATCACTGTCTATTCATACAATTTAATACACTGATAAAGGGTCAGTTGCTCTATACAATAGGATAACACACTGACAAATTTTATTAACAGTGTTACATCAATCACTTCTAAGGGATCTTCATATCTATCTCAAGAGACATCGTCGACTTCATAAGTTTCGGATGAGTTTTAGAGCCTCGGAAAGATCTTTGAGACTTTGAGGTGGTTCTCTAAGTGGAGAGCTTCAGCCTAAGTTGTAGTGTTTTGTTCTCGAGTCCGTGGTTCAACATGGACTTCGGCATTGTAACGTAAGGACTTCGATTTTGTTTGATTTCTTTATACTTTGACCCCATGGGTCTTTGTTTGACTTTCTCAGTGACTTTCTGCCTATGTGGATTCCTACGTGATACTTCTACTTTGAGCTTCGAAGGATAAACGCAACAAGTAGTAACACACCAAATGGCTTCTTGTACAATTTTTGGCACATAATATAGGTAATAGATACTATTTTCCCTCCAGAGTTCAACAAAGTGAGAAGAGTCAAATTAACTACAGAGAAAAATATGTTAAAACCTTTCTGTGAGAACATGTGAAGGAATCAGAGACTTGAGTTGTAATAACCAACAAAGCACTAGCTAATGCCCAGCAAATTGCAGCAAATAATAATAACATTTTAAGGGAAGAAAAAAGAGGACCATTTCTTGAGTAATGTTCCGACTAAAGTGTCAAAAATAAAAATTATGACGTACAGATAACTTCCGTACTTGAGGGCAATCTTCCAGGAGGAAAACACCGACACCTAAGTCAACAACCAGAATAGAACACTCCAAAATATGGGTAGTCAATTTTCTTCCTCAAATGCAAGGTGACAAATATTGTCCATTTACACCATTCTGCAAATGGATAGATGCCATTTTTCTCCAACCAGCACACGAATGAGTAATATAACAAGGCATTCGATTGAAAGCAATATATGAACCCAATACTTGAAATCATACTATTCTCCTGAAACTTCAGAGACAACATTTTTTCATCTTTATCACCCATATCAGCATTCAGATCCTTATTCTCGTGACCCTCAGCAATCTGTTTGTTTGAACAATGATTTTTCAAAACTGTCAAAACATCAGCTTCAGAGGCTCTAGCGAGTTTGAATCGTTCCACGGCTGCATCCAGTTTTTCCTTCCAACCAGGCAAGCCCAATTTACTTTCAACTTGAGATCTCTCAAAAAGCATGTTACCCAGAATAGATGGATTTGAGATCTCATTGCTGCAGCTTGCTCAGTTGCTTCCTCAGCTGAAATTTCCACTAATCGCTTTTTGCTCCACTTCGCGACCTGCTTTCTTTTCAACAATTCCTCCTTCTTGTTCTTGTTCATGCTTGGATCTTTTAACTTGTTAGATCTCTGCTTCTCCAGCTTTTCCTACATTTTCAGTAGCAGCTTTCATTTTTTCTTCTACACTGTCAAAAAGTTTAATTGTCTCAGTAGGATCCCGTTTAGATAAGTCTTCTTTCTTTGCTAACACAAAGGACCAATTAAGTTTTGCCATATCAAATTGCTACAGTCCCAGTGCCAACAATCCTTCGTAAAAATCTGATTTCGTTAAGAGGGCCTTCTCACACTTCTCCTGAGCAAGAGAATATTTCTCTTACCCAGTCGTAGGCAGTATGAAACTGTGTGGCCATTAATGCAAATGAAGCCATTTCATCTTTGGGAATCTGTTTCCTAGCTGCACACATATGGATGNAAGGTCATCCTCCAAGTTTTGTTCAGATGAATGTAGTCCTCCTGGTTCAATTTTATCTGAAGCCATTTAATCTTTGGGAATCTGTTTCCTAGCTGCACACATATGGATGTTTCCTCGGTTGAAAAAAGCCAGAGTAGCCACCTCCTGAAACTTCAGGGAAGCCTTGTCCAAAAGGTTTTGGGCATCTTCGCTTGTCACAGTTTCCTCAAAGGCTGCAGAACATAGTTCCATTCCAAACTCATGCAGATCAATATGAGCATCAGAATCAATCACGAGATGGGAACAGAAAAGCTATGCAAACTCAAATAACAAATCATCAATCTCCACCTCCTTGCATTCGGGATCTTCTGATGTGCCAGATTTCTCCTTTGAAGTTATTTCTCCATCTTATCAGTCACACTGTCTACAGTATCCAGCATAGAATCACCCAGTGAAGATTGTGAAACGCTCTCATCTAATTTAGTCCCATCACTCTCAAGAGGCCTCTCTTCATCCTCCTCCAATAAAGGCGGCTCTTGTTCAGGAATCACCTCTACAACATGTAATCTCAACATAACAATGGAGTCTCCTTTATTTGTGTCAGGATCTTCTGGAAAAAGGTTGTCAACAGACGACTCCACCATCCTAAGTTCAGCCGTACATGTTATAGTGACTAAGTCTCCATCATTGTCCTTTTACTTAATCAACACAAATCTTAACATTGGAAAACGGTTGCTAACAACATCCATCAACACTCTTAAATTGCAATTCACTTGCAGCTGGGCAAGTCTTATATCATGATTGTAAACAAGCTTTAATGGCCTCCATTGAGTGACAGCCTCTGCAGATTGCCCACAAATGGGAAGTGATGTCGATGTAGAAATTGACTGTTCATTTCGGTTATCCTTATTAGCATTTGAATTTGGTTTCGAAGCACCATTTAAAGGCTTCAAGACAACTTTCTGCATTTGAATTTTGGTCTCAGGACCAATTTCAATGTGTGCAATTGGATAAAGCTTTTCTAACTTATTATTAGCACAGACAGTCGACCCCACCGCTGGAGATGCAGGCTTCTTAGGTACAGGTCAAGCTGGGCCACTTGCTGAGGACCTAGTGCCATCCTCAATCGCCCGGCAATCTCCAGGGCATCTCTGTGATTTGGATCAGTATTCAACAGTGCCAGCATATCTTGCATAGCCATTTCATACTTCCCTATAGCCTCAAATGCAAGAGCCCTCCTTAGAGGGGCACGGACAAGCAGTGGCTACACCTGAAGAGCCATAGTACACTCAGAAATCACAGTCTCATAGTCTATAGGCTTCATTTACATCAAACAAGCTGTCCTGTTGCTATGAAACATGTTATGTTATAAACTGCCTCATAATTCTTGGCCCTGTTGGTTATTGTGGCCTG